TATATATATATATATATATATATATATATATATATATATATATATATATATATATATATATATATATAAACAGTCTGAAATGATCTCTATCGGGAGTTTGGAGCAGATAAATAATGTTTTTGTGGATCTTTAAAGTATCTCAAATTATTAGATGTCAACTGCCAGCAAAATGCAAAAAAAAAGGTAGGTGATAATGTTTTTACCTATGATTGTGTGTGTGTGTGTGTGTGTGTGTGTGCGTGCAAGTGTGTGTTCTTTTGTCTGTATGTTTGCAAAATATTTCATGAACCACTGGATGGATTTTATAGAAACACTGAAGCTAATTTTGGATGCACGTCTACTATGGATCACCAAAATGTTCACAATTAAATAAATAAAAAAAGCATGAAGTAAGAAAAATATTATTTTTTATGATTTTATTTTAGAATTGTGTTTTTCATGATGACTTATTTATTTCATAACGCCACTTATCAGCAGAATGACTTCAGCTGTCAGTCAACGTCAGTGGGTTGGATCTTCACGCCCACTGGCTGATTCTTCACATCCATTAGTTTTCCTGCAGCTAGCAGCGACTTGCTAGCTCAACAGTCATGAAGGATGGCTGCATAAACTTCGTTCAGCTCAGGTAACTTTAGCAGATCAAATTGAGAGGATTACGTTCTCAGAAGATACAGGTGTTGTGACAAAAAGTAATGGGCTGCCAAAAATCGATCTGCGCTGCGGGAGCGTGCACGGGAGGACTCGCTGTTGTTGTTCTTTGAATTTAACAAGATTAACACGTAAAAACAATTATTTGTTTGCTCTAAATTATAGCAAAGGTGTCTCCGTTTACTTTTACCATAATAAATGCACTTTAATGGTAAAAAATGTTTCATATATGATTATCTAATTATCCTATATTAATATAAATCGTTATTAGCATGAGTCCACTTGTGAAAAATGTAATTTCTTTGTGATTTCAGTAACTTTGATTTCTTTTAAGGAAAATAACTGTTTATGTGAAGGAGCAGCCAGTGGGCGTGAAGGTCCAACCTACCGACGCTGACTGACAGCTGAAGTCATTCTGCTGAAAAGTGGCATTATGAAATAAATAAGCCATCATGAAAAACACAATTATGAAATAAAATAATAAAAATGAACAATTTTCTTATTCCATAATGCTTTATTTATTTATTTAATTTTGAGCATTTTGGTGTTACAGTCTACAACTTCCGTCGTTAGCTTCTGAAATCAGCACAATTCAAGATGGCTGCCACAGCTAATCAACTGCAGCCAACACCAACATGGCTCTAGTTCAGTCAGTTTGACATATACAATGTTAAGCTAAAACTTGGAGTGGTAGTAGCTGAGAGTCATTCACAACTCTGAGATAAATAAAAATATTAAAAACTAAAAAAAAATGTTGAACCACTTCTCCTTTTATCCAAAATACTTCATCAGTCCGAGGATCTGCAATAAACTCAGTCTTAAAGGAGCATAAGCAGCATTTATTTATTTATTTTGTATCCGTCCAGAGGACCTGATTTAACTGTGTTGGATTTTTCTACCTGGATTATTGAGCATGCATCAAGATATTTTAATGACATTTTCAGAAAGTAATCACTGGATGTTCATCTACAATTGAGCAACTTAAGTCAAAATGGCCGTCATAGCTGTTTGACATTAGCAAACTAAAAACAGGCTCTAATTCAGTTAATTGTACAGGTATTGGACTAAAATAGGTTATAATAGTAGATAGTAAGGAATCACAACACAAACTCTGGGTATATTAATATTTTCCAGGTTTGTTGGGAACTAAAGTTAAAGCTGTCACTTCTCATCACAGGATGATCATAGTTTGAAACTCTGGGAAAAAAAAGCCATGCAAGCGATACGCGTTCTTTTGAGGGATGTCGGGTTTTAATTTCTTTCATTCAGAGCAGTCGGGCATGTGGCTCAGTAGGTTGAATAAAATTGTCAGTGACAACCTGAAAATAAGTGAATTTTTCTCACTCCCATCATTTTCCAAATAGCTGAGATGTGTGACACGTTGTTGATGCATTTCTGATCTTCCTATCATCAAACAGACTTCTCCCTGAGCAGCGGTTACACAATAAGCTTTAGGCTCGTTTTTATTTCCCTGAGTCTGAAGGTGTAAATAAAGGTCAAGGCGGTCCACTGAAAATAGGCCGAGGAAATGTTTGCCATTTATCCTCGCTGTATTTGTTACAAACTTCAATAATTCCTGATGCCGTATCAATTTCTCTTTGCTCAAGGACATACGCTTGTGCCTGAATTTCTCCTGTTCCAATGCGCCGAAATGTCATGAGTCTTGTCGAGGAAGAATGGATTGACGTCTCAACGACTATGAAGGCTACAAATGTGTCCCCCCTCCTCCTCCGACCCCAGAGTTTGAAAAAAAAGAAGAAAAAAGAAAATCAATAACGAGAGTTTCTGGCTCTCCTCCTAGCTTTCCTTCCACTCCTTTCCTGCTGCTGACCTTTTGGCCAACATGCACTTCCCCTTGTGTTACTGATACCCCAAAACAATTTAATAAATGGAATGCAAAAGTTGACATTTTCAGCTTTTCTCTTCTTTTTTGGGGGGGTTGCCTGACCCGCTGGTATCTGCAACATGCCATTTGCCTTTCAAATGACCCCTAGAGACCTCCAAAAACCACTCCCCTTTTTCATACCTTGTCCAAGCATCAATCTGGCTTGCTATTTCGTCACTTCATAGCAGTCTGGGCCAGAAGATTTGACATTTAAGTGACAATTGTTCCTTGACCTTTTTAGAAATCTGAAGTTGGTGCTTAGTCCTGCCCACTGGGACAAAATCAGAGGCTCCGTGCCCGACAGAGAGGGTTAGAAAATGGTCTTTGAGAGGAGATAATAAACTCAATGTGAAGGTGTAACCTTGTGCCTTCGGTAAGGCTGCATGCAAACACATCAACACATATTCCTACCATTGCAATTACCTGGATGGATTTTTTTTTTTACCTAAGAAGGAGACGCAGACTTTACAGAAGGTGTTGAACTGGAACTTGTTGGCGGCCTCCAGCAGCGTCTTGGCGTTGGCCGAGTCGATGACCAGCGATCCCGTGTAGACGAACTCAAGCAGCAGCTCCAGAACGTCGACGTTGATGTTGCTCATGTGGAGCTCCAGCATCTCCCCGCTCTTCGTCTCCCCTGACGACCTGATTAAACCAATCGGGGCAGAGAACAGGCGGGTTAGAGGAGAGCAGTCAGAATTAGAGAAACGGACGAACCAAAAAGAAGGATAGGGGCACAAATACATGGATGCAAAACACAACACCTGAATGCACCTGGGCCGGTACAAGAATCAGGGTGGGAAAAAAAATTGGAGAACCGTTACACAACGTAAAAAGGGAAAGGGAACAAAAATGGAGCTTTGGATGATGTCTACTTTTAAATGAGGTCAATAGATTTTACAACTCTAGTGCCGCATCTGAAACAAAATGTGTCCTCTGATCAGAGATTAGGCAAACAACAGTTATTGCTTGGTTTAGATAGAAGGGTGACGTGTCTGCACAGACTCATGGTGGAACATGCATACAGAACATGAGAGAGTACACAAGTTATTACACAGAAAACAGAGCAATGATGAGAGAAAGTGACGCCTCACCATATTTGTGTATGCATATATGTATGCATATATATATATATATATATATATATATATATATATATATATACATATATACATAAACTGACACTTGGCATGATAATGAATAGAGCCTGTTGAGTGAGCTGCCGGCTCGAATATCAAAACTGCATGTCCACTTCTACCCGTATGACGTAAGGGGGTGCCAGGGAGTGCTTGGATGTGCAAATTAAGTAGAATATGATATCCTGTTGTAATGCACAGCTTGATATATGTGTCTATGTGTGGTGGTGGGGGCGCTTTCAGAACTAGGCCACGTAGTGACTTTTACAGGGATCACATGGCCAAGATTAGTTCACATGCTGGATCCCCTTGGGGAGGTATGAGAGCGTTAAATAACACCTTACCACCCATGTTTAATGTCCCATGTGAAACAATAATCCACTCAAGGGCAAAATAAATGGAATCATAGCCTCCGCAGACTGCACGCCCCTACTAATGTCTCGCTCCCCGTGGACCCGGACATCAACAATATAAAAAGTAGCCTACATTAAGATGGATGGAGGCGGTTTGCTCCCGCCGATCACGACGGCGCAGCCATAAAGTGTTGTCTGTTTCTGTGTTTGCCGAATTAGAAATCTCAACAGCAGTGAGACAAAGAAAGCAAAACAAGAAAAACACACACAATAGGCAAGAATGTGTGATAGAATGGTTAAAGTGAAGGCTAGATGAGAGATTGAGGAGAGGAGGAAGCAAAAAACAAGGATAAGAAAGGAAGAGGGAGGCAGGGTGAGACGGTTCTTCCACAGGGAGCCAGCAGCCATCCTTCTGAGGGAAGGTTTGGGTTGTTCCATGACTGTGCCTTGGGTCTTTTAAATGAGAGATATCCCCGCCCACCACAAAAATAAAAAATGAAAATCACACCATCACACCTAAAATGGAGCCACTGTCCCCGCTGCAATAATCATCAGTAGCCTGTGGTGTATGAACTGAGACATTAGTCGTCATTTAGGAAGCGCTCTCAGGAGACGAGAAGGGAGAAGGTCATCCAAAATGAAATGGAAAAGGCAACCGAGTTTCTCTCTGGGTGGATATTTGCTGGAAAAACCAAAGTAGTTACTAGTATTTTTCTCCTGCAAAGCAAAAAAAGCCACAAAGCGTTATTGCCCCTGCGTATAAAGCCCTGCAGAGGGGGCAAGACAGAAAGAAGGGAAGGGGAGTGTTGTTTAGGGTTAAAGTGATGAATGGAGGTGGGGAGACGGAAGGGGAGAGGGGGGAGCTAAAAATAAAAGAAGAGCATGCTCATCATCTTGGTCAATTAGTGCAATGGGAACCAGCTCAAGTGGCAGTTTGTTTTGTTTGAGCACTTATGTTATGGAAATGACTTTTCCGGAGCTCTCTCAAAGAGGTGGATATTTATGCTGCATTTGATTGCAGACTTGAATTTAAATAGTGAAGGAGGGAGGACGGGAGGGAGGACGGGAGACAGAGGGGAGACAGGGCAAGCAGGAAGTGAAGATGGGCACACTCAGGCAGGAGTTGTTTGTGGAAAATGCTTCAACTTATTCAAGAGGAAAGTTCAAAATGGACGAGAGTCAAAATTACAAACACACCCACGCACTTTCTTATTCATCCTTCAACCTAAAAAAAAAGCCCATTTAGCTTGTTCTAACAAGAACATTTATTCTGAAAAAGCTCACACTACCAGGACGTGTAAAGATGGAAGATGCAAAGCTGAACGCAGCTGGGCTAAAAATGGCTCGCTTTTACATCTCGTCACAACATAAATCAGAAACGAATTATATAGATGAACAGAAGGGAGGTGCTTTGATATCGGTTCTGTGACTTTTTCTGGTTTATTGTTGTTTTCCAGGATTTAGGTCATGGTGTTGCATTTGTAGCTGGTTTTAGGTAGTATGTGCTGCACACGCCTCAGACACTCAGGACTAAAAAAAGACAATGTGGCGAGTTTAAAAGCTCCAGCATCTCATCAAAGTGTGTACACTAGAGACCATTTGGACACTGGATTGATGAAAGTCCTGATAATTAACTAACTTTGCTTGAAAAGAAAAGTCTGCTTTAAGGAACAAATACAAGAAAATCATCTGAAAGCACCAAATATGAAAGGAATATGGCCGATTTGACATTTGTTCAGTTTCCTTGAGCTTTCCTCTCATGACACCAATTTACAAAGTGCTGCAATCCAGGAAAAGAAAGAGAGACTTTTATGTAATAACATTTATCTCAAGAACAACGTTTCTGCTACAGTATCTGTGATGCTCTACAGTCTTCCCAATAATATATCCTGGATGAAAAATGCTGAGCCCAAGATGCTGAGCAAGAGCATTTCTGGAGCTATTTTTGATGTCATGTGCAACTAAAGTAGGATTCTGCTGATTTAGATTCTTCATCATCCAGGACACAGTATTCCTGGCAAGTTAAACTGGACTGCCTGTTGATCTTAAATACTTTTTGCTCATCATCTCCCTCTAATGAGCAGTGAAACGTAACTGAGGCATTCAATGTGGATAAAAGTGTCATCAAGAACCAGCAAAGAAGTCCAGTAATTGAGTCAACTTGCTAGAATGAAGTAGGATTTAATAAAACCTATTTGACATCAAACAGTTTAACATTTTGAACATTGTTCTCTTTTGTGCTTTTATACATCAATCCAACAACTGAACATCTAGAACAGGGGTGTCCAATCTGGGTTCTCGAGGGCCACCATCCTGCGTGTTTTAGAGGTCTCTGTGCTCTGTTTGAACCAATGGGTGAGTGACAGAACATGAAGAGGTAAATCAACCGTTGAATCAGGTGTGCTGAAGTAGGGAAACAAGTAAAAAATGCAGGACAGTGGCCCTCGAGTGCCAGGATAAGACCTAGAGCATCTGAACAACAGTCTGTCTTGTCCTTTAAATGACATCAATGTTTCTTTTCCCTCTCTTCTTAATAAGTCAGAGAAATCCCTCTGAGCCGTTAAGTGTGGGGTTCCATCTACAGACTATCTCCACATCATGTTGAGCTGCCAGCATTCTACTACAGCAGCCCTAAACGGACAAACAAAGCACATACTTGTCCCTTGTTTATTTTGCTCATGAGTGGCCTAATTTTTAGTCATTATGGCTACACTTTTTGTTGGCCAGGTGGGTTTCTATTGACTGCTATCATCAACGTCACCACTAGATGTCACTAAATCCCACATGTAAGGGGTTTCTTTGAAATTGTTGCATTAACAGGTTTTCACAGATACAATTTTCTAAATCCATCCATCCATCCATTATCTTTACAAGTGTCTTCCTTTTTGAGTTGCGGGGGTCATTGGTACCCATATCCAGCCGTCACTGTGCAAGAGGCAAGGACACCCTGGGCAGGTCTCCAGCCCATCACAGGGACACATGGAGACAAACAACCAATCACTCATTTAATTTACCCTTTATTTATACAGGTAGTCTCATTGAGCCACGATAACTCATTTTCAAGAGAGACCTGTTTAGGGATGGGGGTTAAGGACCTTGCTCATGGGCTCAGAGTGGGGCGGATGAGAGTGGGGGCAAGTGTTGGTGCTTCACCTACACCACCCACATTTTTGATGTTGTCTGTACCGGGGCGTGAACCGGCGATCTTCTGATCACAGGCCCACCTTCTCTAACCTCTGCGCCACCACTCCCCCCTCACCTAGGGACAATTTAGAGTTACCAATCAGCCTAACATGCATGTTTTTGGTCTGTGGGAGGAAACTGGAGTACCTGGAGAAAACTCAGCATGCACAGAGAGAACATGCAAACTCCACCAAGAAAGGTCCCAGACCGGAATTTGAACCAGCAACCTTCTTGCTGAGAGGCAACAACTCTACTGCACCACTGTGCTTTTCTAAATACATATGAGGGATTTTTTTCCACAAGAAAGAGAAATCTTGTTCAACTTAAACTACGCTGCCTGAAAATGATGACATATTTTTTATTTTCTTGTTGGAAACAAGAGACACACCCTAAAAATAAAAAGAGAACAAATAATATGATTAAACCAATTATTAAATTAAACACTTGTCTCTGCTTGGCCAGAAGCCACAACATGTTAATGAACAATTAGAGTTTGTAATTTTAGGAAGTGGACTCTTTGAATATTTGCCAGAACAAATTTTCAGAGCATTATTTTGGCGAGCCAGTAACCTGGCTTTCCCCAGGCAAAATCGTGCAGCAGAGAGCTGAACAGAGCGTTCACACAGGGCAGACGCTGTTTCTGTCTTTGAACCAGCTCTCTGCTCACCTCACAGTCAGAACAGTCTGACCCAGGAGCATAAAAATCTCATGGTCCGACTCTAACAGAAAAATTGTCGGAGAAGGAAACGGCAGGAGAAGGATGTGGCGGGACTGCTCAAAAAGATCCTGGAGCTTTTAAAAATATTTTTTTATACATGACTGTGATGCGAAGACGCAGTGGCCATGGATTAAACGCCTGGGAGCACACTTACTGAACAATCCTGGGGGGTAAAATGAAATTACCAGAGATGATCTGTCTCCTGGCTATGTGCATTGGCCCTTTAAGGATAAGGTAATAGGTTTTTAGGAGGGCAAACGTGTGTGCACATTTAAAAATGGCATCCCATCTTTCAAGTATCATGGGGTGAGATAGTACAGTAGATTGAGGGGATCCCCCATTGCTTGAGGGACCAGTATGACGCCTAAAGAACTGTAGGTTTTCAAAAATTTGATCTAAATCTATTCTTTTTCCTTAGCTAGACTTGCAAAAGGTGATGCCAAATGGCTTTAATTTCTTAAGTAAGTCAGTGAGTTGATGTGTGAGTGGGTACGCCACACAAATACACATGTTGTGCACCAACTTCAGCTGCTCTGACGAGCGCAGCCTACCTAAATTTTCACACAAGAAGCATCACCTTCTGTACCCACGTGCAAAATTAAGCTTGCACACCTGCACAAATCAAGTCCATTAAACACATAATTCCACTGTTAAGCACATACTCTGCACTCCAATAACCAAACGGTGGTTTATGAGCTGCCAGAGGGGGTCTTGACCAGCAGAGAGAGCCTGCTGAAGGAGGCGGGTGAGGATGGGTGGCGTACAGAGCACAGGAGAAGATAAAAGTCTCTTCCTGCGTCTGTTATATGACCTCATAAAGACGTGGACAGCAGCGAGCCACATGTAGCATCAGCATAATTCTAGCCGAGCTGAAAAAGTGACCCGAGCAGACGCAGGGGTAGGTCGTAGCTCAGAGATGGACAGGCCTTTGGCTCTCTGCGCTCCTCTCTGACTGAGATTACAGTAATGAGCTTGACTAAATACCCCACAACAAAAACTCTGTCCGATTCCTCTGCAGTCATTCTGTGCATTTCCTTTCCATCCCTTATTTGTCAACTTGTTTTTATTTGACTTTATTCTCATTTGACAGTTACAGCGTTGTCAAAAAGCCCTTGATCATAATTTTAATACTAGAAGGATTTCAGCCTGAAGCCCGATTTCTGCTGCAGGCTTCTTTGTTAAAAATGAGTCATTCCTCTCCACTGTCACCCACAGCTCTACTCTTGTTCAGGATGTGGGTCTGCATCTAAGAGAAGTTTAAACACAACATGTCAAGTGTGTTAGATTAACAACTTTTTACTAACAGGCATTTTATGATATTCAAAATCTAATTATAAATTGAGTTGTTTGAAATCACACGGACTCTAGATTCCTTCTGGACTGAACTGGGTTGCAATTAGTTTGATATAATTTGGAGTTGCCCCTTTACATTGCTATTGCTGTGCATTGCTATAAGGTTATTTTTTGTGTGAATTGGAGCTTTACAAATAAATGTAATCAAAAATAAAGTGAATACAGTAGTCCATTGATATTTTGCGGTTCGACTTCTGTGGATTCACTCTTTCGTTGTTTTTCAACATATGGATTGGACACGACACACGATTGTCAATTTTAAAATTACTCATGTGAGTACGGGATAAAAAGTTAACAGGAGCGGACGGGAGCAGGAACCAACCAAATGGACAAAAAATAAACAAACAAACAAAACAAAACAAAAAAAAAAACACTTCACCGCCATTTTGTAGTTTTCTTTCAATAAGCCTATACTGTAACACAAGTCAAAAGAACTACACTACCCAGAAGCCAGCAGTGCTTCTGGCCACTGCTTTCTGCTGAAATTCAAATAACATTAATGGAGGGAGCAAACACTAGTGGAAAAAACCAATGTGGTAAAATGGATTTGCAATGCAAAGTCAGAAGTAACGGTCTATTTATTAAGATCACAGAACTGACAGGAAAATCACAAATAATCCTGAAGCTGAACTCATCCTGCAAGTAGTATCTTCACTGGTGAGTACCCATACAAAATGTTGCAGTACTGTACATTACACATACATATGTTGTTAAAATTACGTGTTTAAGAGTTTAGAACATTGTTTGGAACATTGTAGAGTGTGAAAAGGGTTTATAAAGCATTAAAATCTATATAAACACTAAAATAAATACAGCGTCCCTCCTTTGCGGATTTTCACCTATAACGGGGGTGTCTGGAACATAACCCCCACGATAAGTGAGGGACTACTGTACTTGGCAAAATTTATACTTATTTAAAAATTGTATTCCTCTAAATAGAAATTTGTAAAGGCCATGTAGTCTTACAAAGACATGACACTGATCAAACTAGTTTCACAACATTTACTGATAAGTTATTCTCCTAAGCTGTGAACTGAAAGACAAACACCTGGACAATGTTTTCAGTTTTCATGATGACGAGCAGCTCAAAGTTCAGCCTGCTTCTCTGGGACTCTTGGTCTCTTTTAGGGACCCGGTCTTAGCCAGAACCTATCGGGTTGTGGATCAGATGAGGACTGCGAATGAGAGGGGTTCACCAGCACAAAGTCCTCAAGTCTATCAAAAGAAACTTCCATTTTTTAAAAACGACTGCACCACTGTCAAGGTCACAGGACGACTCTGGGCTTTTGTTTTATTCATCACGTGTGTAGCAGTCATGTAGACGAGCGGTCCTTGAACGGACGCGGCTCTGTTGCTTCTCGACTCTATCACCCCATCCTCGTACTGGAGAAACAAGTGTATCGGTAGCGAGCCAGGAGGCCGTCGCATCTGATAAGCAGCTCTCTGTTCTCTGATGAGTGCGCAGAAGTGCCAAGCATGGCTGCAGGGCAATGTGGCGCTCTTCCCTACGGGCAAAAAAAATAATCTTGCGAGCCCTAGCATGTTTTTGTTTCTTTTTGTCCTTGCATCTTCACCTTACTCTTCCCATCATGCAAACAAAAACCCTCACGCACACAAACAACAGGAAGGTGGCAAAAAAATAAATAAAAATATTCCAACTTTGGGTCCAATCAAAGCTGAAAACACCTGCAAGGATTTGAAGCACAGATGAGGACATTAGGGATTTATGGTATTGGAGAAAAAAAAAACATGAAGGGTAAGAAAAGGCATACGTGTGCTATCAGACTTTACAGTCAAACTCATGCATGTGGCTGACACGCAGAGAAAACAAAACAGCCAGGGAAGACAAAAGAATACAGAGAAGAAAGGGACGGATACTGGGGGAATCAAATGAATTCACTGGTGGAAGATGGTGGGAACCTGTGGAAGTGCTGCTTCAGTAAGATGTCCTAGATGTGCGTTTGTTTCATCTTTTGTTTATGCCTCTGAAAATATTCTAACACTTTTAATAAAATGTTCTGTTGTGAAGCAAATTTTCAATAATTTGTAACAAACAGCTGCAGTGACACCCCCCCTCCACCCCCCCCCCCCCTTCCTGTCCACAGAGGACAGTGCAGCTCTGGACAGTTAATGTGTATCAGTGTGTGATTGTTCTGTCTCAGCCCATCAGGGAGTGTTTTATATTTTTTATAGCATCCCCAGTCATGGAACATTTTCACTGCTCATTAAAATGGAAATGTGGTTAAATCGCCCTATATGTGGAGGAAAGATAATGACGAATGTTGACCTTTTTTTTGTTTTGTTTTTAGTTTTTTCTTAGGTTTCAAATACATTCATTTGAGTGGGTGGAGAACGGAATGGCTGCTGGCCCTGCGCTAGGAACCAAAGTCTTCACGCACCTGCAAGAGAGAGAGGGGAAGGGAAAAAAAGCGACACAAATGCGCCCTATGAAAAGAACAGATTGGATCAACAGCTGGTGGAGGAGGAAGGGAGGGAGGGAGGAAGGGAGGGAGGAAAGGCAAACCTTTTCACCAGGTCCTTGAAATACAAGCTGCAGGAAGCTAGAACATTTTGGTGGACTTCAAACTCTTTGCCTTCAACAATAATTTTCAGGTCTGTAAACTCTTTCTCTCTGCGCTGCTGGTTCAACTCCTTCAACATCTCTGTAGAAGAAGAAAAAGAAACAGACAATGCCACAAGTTGGGTTCAGAACTTTCTCATTTGTTTTTTTGTTTGTTTTCTCCAAAGATATAAACATACATATCATTGTGCATGGACAACGTGACAAAACTAACAAAAGGGCAGAGTGTAAAACACGATTCTGGACAGTTTCAAGAAAAGAAAAGTTCATTAAATTTAAGAGAAGATGCACATATTTATGGAAACAGTTCAGCAAAAAAAGCAAAACGTGAGCAGAAGAAGGAAGTGCATGTCAGAAGAATCAATATTTAATACTGCACAGAGGAATGTGAAACACTCAAAGCAAGTGCACGAACTACGAAAGGAACTAATCATTGAGAAAATGCACTGCAACTTTGGCAAATGTACACAGGAGTGTTAAAAAATAAAACATGCATCATTGAAAAAGTTTAAAAAGCATCTAAAAGATGAAAACAGAGACTTGGTCAATGCGTTCTTCAGAAAAATAAATAAATCTTTGGCCTCTCACTTGAGCCCAACTCAACATAGAGCTGACCTTCAGATGTTATCCCCTAATCCCAGCATCCTCTTCTTGCATGCTTTCAAATAACGTACCATCAACACACACACACACACACACACACACACACACACACACACACACACA